ATTCAGGCGCGGGCTCCAGCTCCAGGCGCTCCATGGCTCGGGCATGTGTCTCGTTCATTCAGGCAATGGGGTTCGGTTGTCATGACGGATCAGGTACCTGCAGACATGCTTCGGGCCTGCCCTGTTGTCGGGCGCAAGTCTCAATTCTCCTACAGCCTCCGCCGCCGACTCTGTCGCGCATTGTACAGGACCCCCATCGGAGTCGGGCTCTCTTCCGCAATCCCCAGCCCCATACCAGCGCCGTCCGGCCTCCCTCACCTACTGTTGTCCCCCAGACCATGCCCGGATGAGGGTCAATTTTTCCCATTCCCCCTCTTACCAGTTACCCTCTTGCCCTTTTTTCTCACCACCTTGGGAAAAAAACACCTCGCTCCGTTTACGCCGATGTGTCCCGTGCCCAGGGCCCGACGTACCATTAATCGTGGTGGCTTCACACGCACACATACGCACACCCGCACCCGCACCAACTCTCGTCTTTAGTCCTGCCGCAGCCGCCGCCGCCGTTGCTGCCGCTGCCACCTCCACAACGACCCTTACCGGATTACCAGAATCAGACTCTGCGCAGAGTTTCACCTGATATTTCGCAAGGCTGCCCACCTAACCCAACCCGGTCTCGCGCTGCCACCGTGACATGAACCCATTCTGGATTTGAGAGGACCGCTCAGACCCAGCAGCCGAAGGGCGAAAGGAATTCATCGCCAAACTGCATTGGAGAGAGAGGACGAGAGGAGAAAGGGGAAGTCGAGCTGGCGACGCGAGGAAATTAGAAGCGCGCCCGCCACGTTGTCCTATCGACATCAGCCACTTCTCACCTTTCTCGGGCAACGACGACAACGACAACGACGACGACGACTTCAGCAGCAACCTGTACTGACTGCATCTATTTTTCGCCTGGCTGAGGCCTGAGCAGCCTGGACCGCATTCCAGGATTTGAGGCAGACTTTCGATGGAGCACATGAGCCATCTGATCGCGGCCGACTTAAGCCCTCCACCGCCTGGTCTAGTATCCTGACCACGCCCAGCTCAACCCGCTACTAACGGAGAATCGCAACGCGTGGAATAAGGCAATCTCCGGAAGGCCAGTATTCAGAGCAGCCGATTCGTCTCTCCCGTCACTATCAGGTGAAAGATGAATGTCGAACCTCCCTCGGCCACCTCGAGTTCTGCCGGGTCGGGCGCACCACCCAGCCAACGCAAGGAAAGAGGTGCCATCGCAGCACAGGTAGGCCCACCCGGAAATCCTGTTGTTTGTTGTCCTATGCAGTTGCGCGCCGACGACAAGCCAATCTCACGGGAGCAGGCTGCTCGCCCTCGGCTGTAGATGGCATGCAGTGTCGTGTCGACTATCGAGTTGGTGCATAATTCCTGAGGTTTGCTAACGGTAACCGGATAGGCCTGCGAAACGTGTCGCAGTAGAAAACAGAAATGTGACGAAGCCCGACCGAAGTGTGGGACGTGCCAAAAGTTCAAACTCGACTGTCGGTATAGGGAACCGCAGCCCACAAAGTAAGTCTGCCTCCCTGCAGGACCTGCAACCCATAGGCGCACACCTCCGGTAGAAGGCCAAAGTCGCTGTGGTTTTTCTCTCAGTCGAGGCGCCGTCTACCTTGATCGCCTTTCGGCCACGGGTACTGACGCTGATCTCCGTCTAGAAAAGACAAAACGTTATCTGAGATTCTAGACCGTCTGAAGCTCATCGAAGGAAAGGTTGACCAACTGGGGTTTCAGCAAGTGCATCCTTCACCATATGAACCCTCGCAGCGCAGCCAAACCCGCCCTGCACCTGCGCAGGCAGGCGGAGGCAGCGGGGACTCTGTACCAACTACAGCCTCCATTCGGCCCTCAGGCCAAACAAGTCCCACGCCGCAAAAGCCTCAGCCTTACAAGTATGTTTCGGCCGTGCATAAGCTTATGGCGTGGCCCGTAGTGCGCCAGGTTCTTGATTCGGGACAGACTGAGATTCCCAATCTCCACGCCGTGATCCAGGATCGTGATCCCCCCCTTGAACTCCTCGAACAGCAAAGAAGCCGGCGAAAGCTGGCCACTGATGGGATGGAGGGTCTCACGATGGATGATAGAGCCTTGCTGGGCCTTCGAGTTGATGCGCATAGAAACCCAACGGTTGTCCGACTATCAGACCTAGACTGGCCCACGGTGGAGAGTCTTTCCAAAGCCTATTTCGACACATTCAACTTCATATACCCGATCATGGACCGACAGGCTTTCAATACGACCATTCTCACCTCTGTTGTCGAAAATGGGTTCAACGAAGGTGTGGCGTCGACCTTGGTGTGCCTGGTCTTTGCCCTTGGCGCGGTTGCCCTCGCAGACTCGCAAAACATGCCATTCATGCGGTACAAGGGACAGATGGGGAGACCGCCAGATCGGGCAGCCGATCGACCGCCGGGGCTGGCTTTTTTCAACGAAGCGAGGAAAAGACTGGGCTTCTCCATGGCAGAGTGCAGCTTGGAGAGCGTGCAGATACACGCTCTGGCCGGACTGTACTACGAAAGCTGCTCGCGACATCTGGTACGAGGCCCCATCCACCAGATCAGCCCTGCGACAGCACTGACGTGGGAATAGGAGTTTTGGCGGATGACCATTTCGGCTTCCATGGCATGCCATGCCTTGATATCTGCGTGAGTCTGATCAGCGGCAGGCCTGGTTATCAAGAAGGAGTGTTTGCCTGGGAAGCTTGACTAATGTATTGATTGCAGGAACCCAGGGGAACTGGAATCACCTCGCCTTGACCTTATCCGCAGAGTATTTTGGCACTGCTCGATCATGGAGACGTGAGAGCAGCCCGTCAACGAAAAGTCGCGCTGGGCGTGTGCTAATTGTGCACCAGATACCTCAACCTGGAATTGGAAATCCCTCTGACAGGGCTCGACAAGCTGGAAGGCAAGGTTGGGCTTCCAGACTTTAGCGGTCCTTTTTGTGAAGCAGACTACCTGGGCAACCAAGAGTCGCGGTTCCAAGAGCACTTTGCATCGCAAATTGTCCTCCGACAACTGTCCGTGGGCTTCCACGACACCATGAGAGATGGTAAGTTTCTGAATTCCTCGCGCTCGCACGAACAAGCCTGTCAGGGCGACACGGATCCAATCCCGATCTGGCTTACCCTGGACCCCGAAGGGGAAAAGGACAGGGGGGCTGCCAATGACGTAGTTCCGGTCAGGAAGCCGTGGTGCGTTACGGGGATGTCGAGTCTGGGCTTTTCCGTCACGGAGACGGGCGTTAGACGTGTGCGAATCGGTCTTAGCGTCAAGACACCTCTGGCCCCATCCACGTGTCGTTCATGTGCCGTTTACAGCGTTTACGGCCCGCTCCATCACCAATGACAGCTTGCTAACCAGGGTCCCTCGTCTACAGCCACCGGCCCCACAGCGCCGCCCATGCCGTTCCCACCTCCCGACCGCCAGACTCAGCCGTCCGAAGGCTCAAACCCGGTGATTACGACCATCAACCACCTAGCATACCAGTTGGATCAGTGGCGTGCCTTGCTGCCCGTGCACCTGCGGTGGAGTGACGGCCAGGCCTCCGCTTTCTCAACACCCATACCTGACCTCTTCACTCAAGGCGGCATGTACCCACCCCAACAGATGCAGGCCATGTTCACTGCCGACATCTCGTCGCCGTCGGCACCGTACCCTTACGCCACGGATGTGCAAGTCGCCATGCTCCGTACCCGGTATTACTACACAAAGTACCTGCTCTACCGACCAGCCATTTACAAGGCCCTCCACCATACCAATATGCTCAGTACCGATGACGCCAAGGCCGTTGCTGAGTGCTTGAAGGCCTCGCTCAAGTGGCCCATCATCATGGCCCCCACCTGTCACCGGAAGCGACTTGTGCCTTGCCTGTTTTTTTGGACGCAAAACCTGCTTGGTGTCCTCATTCTCTTGCACCTTTCACAGCAAGTGCCAGTCCTATCCAACATTCGGGCTCGCTTTTGCGACAACACCTTCGACATGGATGCCACCGATACAGTCAACTTGTCGATTGCCTGGATTCGTGACCTCAAAGACGTTGACGCCACAGCTGAATGGTGCTGGAACGTGCTTCGAGGGATGTACCGCCTGGACGATTAGTCTCGGCAAACGCAAAGACACGTTTGGTCTTGTATCGGTCCACTGACCTCGATTCACTGCCGGCTTTTGTCGTAATTGATGGTGCCCGTCTGACATCATACCCAGGGTAGGGGCTCTCCAACAGGAACAACCTCAAAGACGAGCCGAGCCTCTTTGAAAGCAACACTCCGAGTGTCTCGACATGTGCGGTAAGAAAGAATTACGGATAACAAGGGACGAGGGGGGGTAAGGAGTCACGCTAGATCGGCTGGTTGTTTCCGCGGTGGCGTTTGGTCCTGGTAGGCGTGGTCTCGCATATATAGCAGGATAGGCAAATTCTTTTCCATTCCCTGTTTGCGCGTTAGGGACAAGGTGTGAGCGCAGCACCAAATCACTAGACGGGGGGCGGAGATAGGGTAGGATAGGGGAGGACCAGGAGCTGAAGACCGCGGCAGGGGACAGCATGGTAAAATGTTGTTGCTGGTGGTGGTTCTTCCGATATCCATGTCTTGTAACGTCTTATCAGCGACGTCAAGCCACAATGAATACATCCTATAAGGGAGGCCGTTTGTTTTTCCCTCCATTGTCCGTCCTGCTCGGTATGACCGTTTGGTTTAAGGTGTGGACTTGCATTTGAGTCGGGAGAATTTCTACTCGATCGACTTGCTTCGACACGCAAAAAGAGGGGGGGAAGCCTCCCACCCCTCCCTTTTTTCTGTCCTCCCCTGGATTTTTTGGGACTCATCGGCGTACAGGCCTCCTGTCGGCAAGTAAGCCAAGCCAAGCCAACCTGAGTCGCGCAAACCGGCTCCCCGGATCTCGTCGAGTTCGGAACCTCCCGGCCGTTCAATCCCTGGCCCCGGACGGAGATCGAGCACGCCAGATCGGCAAGGCGCGACGGCAACTTACGCCATTGTGGGTGGATGGAGTTCCCGTTATACCCATGGACGACGAGGTCTGCGCCGCGTAGCCGTTTAGCCGGCTCCGAGGACCCCCAGGACGCTTCTTTCAACTACATCTACATCTCCGGCTTCTCCACGCAGGTTCCCTGTGCTCGTGGCCGGCCCGCTTAAGCTGACGACGGACGCAAACGACTGGGCAATTTCAGCGCAGTGGGCGAACTTGTCATGTTGTATTTCCTTTGCATGCAGCCATGTGCTAAGCAACCCCGGTTCCTGGGGTACAAGGGTGTATTCCCTGCATCTGCGGGTGACAGTCGTTGGAGGCCATACTCGTCTCGGTACCGTTCTGTTGGGCTGACTGACAAGCCAAACCTTCACTTCTTGACCGGTGCCCCCTCCTCGCCTACGGTGGTTGTTTTCCTTGTGCTCCCCCAGCTTGCGAGCGCCTCAACCTCCTCGCCGTCTACCCCGCGCGCGTGCGCGATCGCAGCGCGCCCCTGTCGGTAGTCACGATCATGGCCAGATCTCGGCATTCCGAACTAATACCTATAGCCTGATTCGGATGCCGAGCCACGCCGTTGCTCTGCCGCCCCCGCCCCCTCCTTATCCTTTCTTGCCATTCCTACGATCCTTCAGCTATCGAAGAACACCAGGCTAGTAAACGTGACGCGAACGGCCGTTATTTCATTACTCGTATGCTTTTCCGCGTCCGTATTTGCACCGTTTGAATCTGGCTTTTGTTGCTGAACGTGCGTCCCCGTGTCATTGGTGTGAGCAATGAATTCGTTTCCATCACGGCCCATCTTGTGCGTGTCCTCGGACGATGTCGCTTGCTTCGTCTCCTCTTCAGCCGGTCCAGACTGGCCGGCAGGCAGGTAGGGCTTAGGTTCCCCCTCCCCCCTGCGTGATCCAATCCTCGACCGCCTCGCGGCCTCTCACGACCACAGCTACTAGCACAGCGAACTCATCGACGCTAGACAACCCCACAACGCCGAAGACGCCCGAAAAGTCCATCCGCTCCACCCACCACCAATTTTGCGGCGCATTGCCGAAAGTCGAGGCGCCCTGCCCCTGGCCCGATGCCTCCACCACGGCCCGACGCCACTGTTCCGGCGTCGAAGCACCCCACAACCGGGCCGAGGCAGTGAACGACATGTCCGAGAGCACGGCAGAGCCTGAACCGGGACTGTCGAGTCCGCTCTGGCTGTCGCTGCCGCCGCCAGTCCAAGAGATTATGTCACCAGGGCGGGCATTTGCGTAGACCTCACGGACAATGTGCGACGTAATAACGGTCCGCCGAATCGACTCGGCGAGAAGCCAGCGGCGCCAAGCCAGGCGAAGCTCTTCTTTGCTGAGGCTACGAGAGGTTGCAGACGCTGTGCTCCCGGGAGGGTTGCGGACCGGTGTTGTCTCGGTAGGCCCGGACGGCATGCTGAAGGGAGCGTAGTAAGGGGTGGAACAGGGAAAGATGAGCGGAGGCGGCGGCGAATGCTGTTGTTGATGTCGAGTCTGATATGACTGCTGCTGCTGCTGCTGCTGCTGCGCAAAGGACGGCGGACTTGGCGGTAAACTCCCGCCCGACTCGTCTTGACTGGTGTGGAATACAGCGCCGCCGACACGAGCCTGCAAGGCTGACGTCCAGGCGGCCACGACTGGTTCGACGGCATCAGCGAGGACACGCTGTCGAATATCGCCGTCGAACCATCGTATCAGTTGGTACATGATCAGAGCTTGCAATGCCCCAAGTTGCTCCGGAAGACTCCAGGCGGTCTGGTCAGCATAAAGAAGGGCTGTGGCTTTGGATTCGACAATGCTGAGTATCAGATCACTGTTTTCATCATTTTTGGCAGCATACGCTGCGCAAGCACAGAATGCATCTTGAAGAGTCAGAGGTAATATGCTCTCTGGGCAACCAGTTGAAGAGGGGAGATAGAGAGAGGGGTGGACGAAGGGTGCAAAGCCATTTTGCTTGACCCATCTCTTAGGATAACTGCGGAACTGCTCCGTGCAGTAAAGGACAGCATCTCTGTTGACTGCGCCATTGGGTGGGCTGGAGGACGGGCTGTAGAACAGCGGCGGCCAATGACTATCTGACTCTAGAGTGGAAGTCGCAGAAGAAAGGGTGTTTGGGATGGGCTGCTCATTCGAAACTGGAGGTGTGGCTGCGCTGTTGAGCATGTCGGCAAAGAGATTGAAGTTGGCTGCTGCCACAGTCGCTTCGAGTGAGGGGTAGTGGCAGTCGTCAAGCGCTTTGAGCACACACCTGCCACAACGAGGTAGTCGTTGGTCGCAGCGACGTTTTGCCTGCTGACATGCTGCGCACGCTCGGCGGCGGGTTGATGTCGGTGGCGGGACGGTTGAGGATGATGTTGACTGGGCAGACATGCTGTCGAATCCCCTAACTGTAGGCGTCTCTTCTGGAACAATAACGAGGTTCTTGATGCGGATGATAGCAGCCCGGACGTAGTCGTGCGTCTATTGCTGACTGGAGAAAAAGTTCCGAGTCCGGCCCCAGGACGGAGAATTCGATCGACTTCAGAGATAGGTCTTGTGGCCAAGAATACGCTGGGCGTCCGTCGTATCAGTCGAAGTGTTATGGCGTTGGCGTTGGGTGTAGAGGTAGCAGTGCAAGCTGTGAACGGTTCGCTGATGCTAAGCTTTGCAACAGCGGAACTCCGCCAAGACACTGATGCCCAAGCTTTTCTGCGTTCCGTAATTTTGATCTTCATACACTGACCGGACTTCTGGGTCGGAGGCTACAGAACGATTTGTTCTTGTCGTCACGTCAGGCGGGTTTATGGTATCTTGGCACACACTCCGTAACACCAAGTCGTGTTAGCTAAGATGCGTGTGCAAGGTGGTTTCCAGTACCTCCTTATAAGTCAATTTTCCGGCTCTGGGTTTCGTGCGCTAGGGAAGGAGATAGATCGGGATGTCAACCAATAACCAAAGACGTGACTAGACTTTCGGAGGAAAGCGAGGCGACTACTCATAGCACAACCAAGCTGCGGATACGATGACAAGCGGCTTCTGACCAGGTATTTGACCGTCAGTTAGTAGCCGGAGGAAACTCGTGGTGTCCACGGGATGACTGATGATGATGATGGCAGAGGTGCGGCAAAGTTGGCTTGGACCAGTTCCATGGCCACCCAAGCGTCTGTCAGCCTGAGCCATCGATTTGCAACGGCCCCGGAATATGGGGCCTTGGCCTTTGATATTTGGAATTTGAGAACTAGAACCAAAAGTGGGAGTACGAGGGCGCGCGGGCTGGACCGGGCTGAGGGCATAGCCAGCCAGGGCAGCAGCAGCATGTTTGCGGCATGGCTCATCCATAGGTGCCGTTGTTTTGCAGTGCAAAGCGCCGAAGAAGAGCTCAGTGTTTCCGCCGAGTTGACACTGTCAACCAAACACGGTAATTTCTCTCTGGTCTTCGCAGCAGTAGTGTGATGTGTCAAGCTGCGGGCACTCCGCATACGAGCTAACGTTGAACGTCGTGGCGGCCTCGTAGCAGCCCGTCTCGACGCCCCCTTCTAATGGGGCCCTTGACCGATTCACCAATGCCATAATCTTGACCAAGCACGCCAAAGCCTTGTGATAAGCGAATTTCTCAGCGCCCACCCAGCCTTACAGAAGCGTGACAACATGGTCCACAGTGATTCGAGCTTGCCACTGCTGGTGGTTTTCTCTCAAGTTGTTGCCATGTTGGGTCGCTTCCTTCAATCGGAATGAAGCCATGGGTCATGCTCGTCTCGTCGCGAAGCTTCGTCGTCGTGACAATATCATGTCGAGGCAGCAGCCAGCGTTACTCCCTTCCAGCCCTACGACCCAAACTCAATCCGAAGCTTGTCTCATCGCCGGCCCGAGTAAGCGGTTGGGCCCGACAAACCACCCCTGCAGTGCTGGTCGCTTATTGTGGCCCATCGGCGTTTGTTGACCTGGCTAATGAATCATTTGCAGTGACGTTGTTGAAGCTACCCACGATAGCAGACATGGGGCTTTGCTCTGCACAATGCAACTTGACATGCGTCCACTTCGACCCGTATCTATTCTTGGTAGCAGTCCGTCCAGCCCTCGTCATTCGTGTGCACATGAAAACCAATTGATTTTCGATACGCGACTTTCACGCGCTAGCCAGCTCAACCCGCCGACGATGACCCGCAGACGCGGCCAAGACGTTGGCCATCTGTCGACTGCTCAGGCGATACCTCAAGGCAGCAGTTTCGGAGCCCACCGGAAACACCAGTCGGCAGGACTTGACCCGGACCGGATGGCCTTCTCTGACTCAAGGTACGTCGGTCGGACTGACATTATCGGGACGGCAGGGGCCCCCGCAATGGACCATGGGCGTCCCGTGGGTTCTGCTGCCGGGGTAGGTCGTCGGATCTGATAACGCTGGCCGGCGCTGCGTATTCATGTAGGAGTCTCTGGAGCCTACCAATTAATCCATACGCTATGGCGGGCTGGCCAGGCACCCGCCAGGCGGCGCGGCTAAGGTTTCCCCGTCCCGCTGGACACTGTGGGTGCGAGATGTGACGGAGCGACTTCTGGGAAGCGAGAGCGAGGGCATGCTGGCCAATTCCACTCGCTTCATCCGCAGCGTCCATTTTCTCCTGCCAATCCCCGTTAGCGCATTGCCCCTAGATTCGTATCTAGGGTTGATGCAAAGGCGGTGACAGTGGCAATGACGATGCAGAACCGCCGACTACCGTCTTGGCTGTGTTCGCATCAACGTGCATGATATTCACGCGGACCATTGTCCAGGAGGCGAGAATCGGAGTTCCGTCCCACAAATCTCGATATAGAGACACGATGATCAGGGCAGGGCACCGAGATCCCCGGAGCAACGTCCAAAAGTAACAGAATCAGCGGCGACCGGTAGTCGGGAGTGCTGGTCCATGTCCGAGCTGTGAGCTGCCGGGCAAGACAATGTCCCGACAGAGGAGACATTGTCCATTGTCTCGATGGCAACGCAGACAGGGAGGGCCGCTTGTCGCGTCTCGTAGCAGCGTGTAATGAGGTATTGGTCCACATGCTGTCCAGATATGGCCAGATTCCCCAGATAGGCAGACAGGGCACTATGGGAGGCACGTCATGTCGCTGATCGCAAGTAAGGGGGAAACAAAAGGGGTCCATTGTCTCCCGTCCCGTTGCGTCGATCATCATCTGATTAGAGATCGATAGTTCAAGTGGCAGGAGATGAGAAGGTGGAATGGCGTAGCGCTGTCGACGCCAGTTGACTGGACGGGTGGGAGAGTGTCGGCGCGCGTGGCGGTGACAGCGTCTCGACCGTGACGGAACCAAGCCTGCCCGTTGCGTGGAAGATGCCATGACATGGAGGAGATAAAATCAAAGACGGCGCTTCGATGCCTTCTCTGCTCTCACTTACCCACGCGTTCGTGCACCAGGCAACAAGGATGGATGATCTGTGTGTGGGTTTGGATCAGAGGGATGGCCAGAACACCAAGTTAATTAGGTACGGTACCTAATCAGTGGAGGGTACCTGGTGCCTGCCTTGGTAAGACACTTGGGGCCTGGGCTGCCGACAAATCAGTACGTTCAGGGGCGCTGACCAACCTGATGGACCCACATGGGTCACTGGTGTGATTTGTGCCAATCAAACCAGACCGAGACTGGCGTCTTCTAAGCCACTAGCACGGGATCCTTGCCTTGCCAGATCCCAACTTTGCTAGGTGCACTTGTCCTAAGTGGGCAAGGTCCACGTCTTGCCCCTTTCTGCTCGACGCTTCCAACCCTCCACAGCACAGAAAGCAAAGCGAACGTGAGCGCCGTGCCGAACTAGGAAGCGCCAGAACATTTCACATACCTTCAACAGTTGCTGAAGAAATGCAGGTTGGGGACACATGCCGACGGGCAGGCTGCAGCGTGTGTCGCGTGGTAGCCTTTCTCTTAGTCTACTGACCTACACGGACAGTGCTGCTTCTGCTGCCCTGGCCATCGGGTTCTTCATGGACACCGCCGTTGCTTGGAGCTGACGACGACGACATTTCGGGGACCCGAGTTCCGACAATGCTCCCGACAAGACCGTTGACCACCCCAGTCGCCATCGCCGTCCTGACCAAGGAACCAGAGCCGCAAGTGGCAGGCTGTGGGGATTCCTATGCGAGCATTGCATTGTCAAAAGGGGCGGGCGGCCTGCTTCGTTGCCGACCCATAAAGAGCCCTGCCACCATCGAAAGGGTCCCCGACCTCCTGACGGCTCGAACGTACCATGTACATGTACTGCATACCCTTGACGCGCTCTCTCGCGTTCATCGGGCCAGATCCATCCACCAGACCCGTTCACCAAGAGCAGGCGCAGTGACGCTTCGTTCCGGTCTAGCCACCACTGTGAGCTAGGTTGGCCTGCCGAGGACATGGGTGTTTCGTCCGAAGAGAGAGGAAGAGAACGGGAGGAAGGAGAAAAACAAACCTTTCACAACTGATACCTCGACAAGACTGGTTGCCGTTGTGAAACGAAACGATGTCAGGGTCAAAGGGGTGCTCATGACAGGTGTTCGTCCGGCTTTGACGTGTATCAGATTCAAAGGCTCACCCTCCCACCCCCCTCTTCTTCGTGGGTACCTGGGGCTTTGAGTTGAAGCGCCGGCGCCAGCGCCCGTGGCGGCGCCAACCAGCCAGCTAAACGTGCTCGATGTGCTTGATTGTGCATCGCCAAGCGACCATGCAACACGCACGACAAAGGGGCATGGGACAGACGACGAGTTGGGGTTGTTTGCATTGCGCCCATTCACGATCTGGCCCAGCCACGACGGAAATTTACAGCAGACCCAAAATGGTCGACAGGGCCGCCGCCAACGCCGCTTCCCCGCCCCTTCAGCCTCTCAGAAGCACTGGAAGGGCAGAGCATCTTGAGGGGGGGCCTTAGGGGGGCGGGGGGGGGCAGCCACCTGTGAGCGTGAGCCCTGAGCATGAGCACTGACTGGGAGCAACCAGGATCACTGCCTCAACAAGGCACGAACCCCTGCCACGAGCAGAGACGGCAGGCCCCCCCGCTAACGCAAGGTACCATGTCTTACATGCCGCTCTATGCGCCTACCATTGGCCACCAACAGGCCGCCATGGCCTTTGCCAGTCGTCGAAGGGGTAAGCTGGGGACCATGCGCGCCGTCCACTGGCTGGGGCCGCTGGCCTCAAGGGGAAGCGGGTCGACGGGATATGGCCTTTTCTGTCCATTCGCAGTTCGCAATCCTCGCAATCCCACCCTGCGCCCCTGCTGCCGCGCCCAGAGGTGTCCACCACGCCTGCCCCCAATGGCCCCGACTCACCGACATCGAAGGACTTCTTTCCCTCTTTCGCTCGTCGATGGACAGCTGACCTCCTCGCTTCCTCCTCCGCGTGAGATAAGCCCAAGCCCGACCCTAGGGCCAGCCAAAGGTAGAGCCAGAGCCAGAGTGCCAGGTCGAACATCATCTCGCTCCCAGACGCCCCTGACTATCATGCCCGACATGGACCTTGAACCAACGAGACTTGTTCTCCCTCGCGATTTCCACGACAGCGAAAGTGAGAGCGACACTGTCGACACTTTGGATCTGCTAGGAGGATACACAGATGCTCCTGAGACACAACACGCTTCACCTTCACCCCATCCCGATCCCCTGGTCCCGCGCGGCCGTCACCCGCTACCAGTACCCGTCCACCACCAGCACCAGCAGCAGCACTACCACTACCACTACCACCACAACCACACAGACGTCCAGCAGCGAGGCAAGCATACCTCCCACGCCCACGCCTCTTACATTGCGCACTCGCCCATCACGGCGCCGCCCTCTGCCGCCAGCTCCCGCCAGCCCTCACCCGGTCACGCCCGCTCCCACACGACGCCTGTCGTAGGCACACCCAAGATCAACATCATCAAGAGGAAACCGCTTTCCTCGACCGCCTCGCCCCTAGCCACCCGCTTCTCCGAAGGCGCTGCCACCCTCAGCATTCACCTGCCCAAGCCCGAGACGCGATTCTCGAGAGCCTACTCTGTCGACAGCCCCACGCTCTACGAGTACCCGGCCGCAGCCTTGGAACATTCGCTAGCTCCTATCATCCTCGACTCCTTCCCGACCGTGCCCACTACTCTACCGCACGAGAAGCCGCCGTAGGTCTTCCGCCGTGCGCCTGGTATTGGTCCGACCACGGGCCAGTTGCTATTGGCAAACAAATTCTAACTTGTTTCTTCCAATAGGACACCAACAAACACCGACCGTGCTGAAGAGGACGACGACGGGCCACACCCTTTGACGCGAAACACTCCCAGCAACAACCTGGCTTCCCCTCAAACGAGAACTTCAGACGACCTGCCGCAACATGCCAGACTGACCAACAACGTCACGCAAAACCCACACTCGTTCGACGCACCTTTGCTACCAAACGCGACCAAGGCGGACACCACAGACAGCGAGTCAGAGTCGGCATACAGTCTTTACTCTAATGATAATCGTACCATGTCCATCATCGCACCAAAACCAACACCACCACACCTCAACCTGGACAAGGTCGAAAGAAATAGTCACATATCCACGCCACCAACAACTGCCATCGACTCGAGCAGACTGCCCGAAATCAACAAGCCATTACCTAAATCCCCCGGGTCAACAAAATTCGGAAGCCTTTTCGGCTGGGCCATCTCACCCCTCGCCGTCTACCACCGGAATTCTCATCCCTA